AAGGGGACAGGAAAGCTGGTGATAGGGAACCCAAGGTTGAGTAAGGATAGTGTTGATGTGTTGTGAGGTTGTTAACCATTGTCACAGGGCAACATGTGCACTAACTGCTTGGTGAGAAACTGTTTTGTTCTGTCAACCTTCATCTAGAGCGAGAGTAGCAGCACAACTAGAAGAGCGTAGTTGATGTCACTGAACTGTGCATGTAGAAATTTTTGAAATGGCGTATCTTGGGCTATGTATATTTTCACACAAAAAAAAGTCGAGAAGGGAGAGGGTTGACATGTCATGGGGTTGTTAACCAATGTCATAAAACAATACGTGTACTAACGTTTCATGAGAAACTATTTGTTTTGTAAACCTTCACCTGAAGTACAATTAAAAAAAAAAGAAGATAAAATACTTAAGAATAAATCTAACCAGAGATGTAAAAGACCTATACAAAGAAAACTACAAGATGCTACTGCAAGAAACCAAGAGTCCTGCAAAAGTGGAAAAACATATCTTGCTTAGGGATAGGAAGACTCAACCCTGTAAAACTGTCAATTCTACCCAAAGTGATCTATAGATACAATGCAATCCCGATCCAAATTCCAACAGCGTTTTTAAATGAGATGGAGAAACAAATCACTAACTTCATATGGAAAGGGAAGAGGCCACGGATAAGTAAAGCATTACTCCAGAAGAAGAACAAAGTGGGAGGCCTCACACTACCTGATTTTAGAACCTATTATACTGCCACAGTAGTCAAAACAGCCTGGTACTGGTACAACAATGGATACACAGACCAGTAGAACAGAATTGAGAATCCAGACATAAATTCATTACCTATGAGCAGCTGATATTTGACAAAGGCCCGAAGTCTGTTAATCGGGGAAAAGACAGTCTCTAACAAATGGTGCTGGCATAACTGGATATCCATCTGTAAAAAAATGAATCAAGACCCATACCTCACACCATGCACAAAAACTAACTCAAAATGGATCAAAGACCTAAATATAAAATCTAAAACAATAAAGATCATGGAAGAAAAAATAGAGACAATGCTAGGAACCCCAATATATGGTATAAACAGAATACGAACCATAAGTAACAATGCACAAACACCCAGAAGATAAATTAGATAACTGGGAACTCCTAAAAATCCAACACTTACACTCATCAAAAGACTTCATCAACAGAGTAAAAAGACAACTTACAGACTGGGAAAAATTTTTTGGCTGCAGCAAATCTGATCAGCATCTAATCTCCAAAATCTATAAGATACTGCAAAACCTTAACAACAAAAAGACAAACAACTCAATTAAAAACTGGGCAAAGGATATAAACAGGTACTTCACCAAAGAAGATATTCAGGCAGCTAACAGACAGGTGAGGAAATGCTCAGGATCATTAGCCATTAGAGAAATGCAAATCAAAACTATAATGAGATAACATTTCAGCCCAACAAGGCTAGCATTAATCTCAAAAAACACAAAATAATAAGTATTGCAGAGGTTGTGGAGAGACTGGAACACTTATATACTGTTGGTGGGAATGTAAAATGGTACATCCACTTTGGAAATCAATTTGGCACTTCCTGAAAAAGCTAGAAATAGAAGTACCATAAGATCCAGCCTAGAGAAATAAGAGCTATCACACGAATAGATCTATGCACACCCATGTTCACTGCAGCACTGTTCACGATAGCAGAAAGATGGGAACAACCTAAGTGCCCATCAACGGATGAATGGATAAACAAATGATGGTATATTCACACAATGGAATACTATGCAACGATAAAGAACAACGATGAAGCCGTGAAACATCTTCTAATGTGGAGGAATCTGGAGGGCATTATGCTGAGTGAATTTAGTCAGTCACAAAAGGACAAATATTGTATAAAACCACTATTATAAGAACTCAAGAAAAGGTTTAAACACAGAAGAAAACATTCTTTGATGGTTACAAAGGTGGGGAGGGCGGGAGGGGGTATTCACTAACTGGATAGAAGACAAGAATTATCTTAGGTGAAGGGAAGGACAACACACAATACAGGGGAAGTCAGCACAACTGGACTAAACCAAAAGCTAAGAAGTTTCCTGAATACAACCAAACACTTGGAGGGACAGATTAGCAGGGGCGGGGGTCTTGGGACCATGGTTTCAGGGGACATGTAGGTCAACTGGCATAACAAATTCTACTAAGAAAATGTTCTGCATCCTACTTTGGTGAGTGGCGTCTGGGATCTTAAAAGCTAGCGAGCAGCCATCTAAGATGCATCAATTGGTCCCAACCCACCTAGAGCAAAGGAGAATTAAGAATGTCAAAGACACAAGGAAAATACTAGCCCAGGAAACAGAAAGGGCCTGAGACCAGAAGAACTAGATGGTGCCTGGCTACCACCAACGACCTCCCTGACAGGGAACACAACAGAGTCCCTGATGGAGCAGGAGAAAAGTGGGATGCAGAACTCAAATTGTAGTAAAAAGACCAGACTTAATTGTTTGACTGAGACTGGAGGGACCTTGGAAGACATGGCCCCTGGACTCTTTGTTAGTACAAAACTAAAAACATTTCTGAGGCCAACTCTTCAGACAAAGATTAGACTAGACTATGGGACATAAAATGTTACACATGAAGAGTGTGCTTCTTAGCTCAAGGAGATACATGAGACTAAACAGGCAGGTCCTGTCCAGAGGCGAGATGAGAAGAGAGAAAGGGACAGGAGCTGGTTGACTGGACACGGGAAATCCGGGGCGGAAAGGAGGAGTGTGCTGTCACCGTATAGGGAGAGCAACTAGGGTCACGTAACAATGTGTGTATAAATTTTTGTATGAGAAACGAACTTGAATTGTAAACTTTCACTTAAAGCACGATAAAAAAAAAAAAAAAGAGGGAGCAAGTATTCATTCAACTATGTCAAATGCTACTGGGAGACTAGATGGGGACTGAGAACTGACTGCTGGATATGCAAAAGGAAAGTCATCCTGGTCTTAGCAAGAGTGGTTTTAATGAGGATAAAAGCTTGACAGTGAGTTCAAGAAAGAAACAGTGTGAGGAAAGGGAGACACAATTTAAAGAACTTTTCTGAGGTAAATGGGAGCAGAAGATTGGGGTGTTAGCTGGGGAGAGACATGGGACAATAGCTGAAGAGAGATAAGGCACTAAGGGGTGGTTGAGATCAAAGTGTTAAATTACAAAGCTAACATTTTAAAGGAAAAACAAGTACTTTATTCACCTGTTTCCATTTAAATCAGATTAGAGTATACTATACCTATATAATTTTAAATATTTGCTACAGAAAAAAAAAATCAGTTTTTTGAGTTTTACTACTTACAGAACTCTGACGTGGCAAGATATCCACAAATGACACCTTCTTATCTACAGGTGTTAAACGCTGTCGTGGTTTAGGTGTTGGAGCCTAAGATAAACCCATAGGTCAAACTGAGTATGATGAACATGAAATTTTAAATAATGTTTCAGCTATTTTTTTTGGGGGGGGGGGTATTTCCTAAATTTTATAGGAAATTGAAAGTCACTGTTACTTACTACAACTAATGTGCTAACAGAGGATGTTGGAGGTAGTCTCTGAACAACTTCTGGCTCTTCACTGAGAGGGAAATTTCCTAAGTCTTCAGTTGTTATTGATCCACTTGGTGGAAGGTAAGCAAATTTCCATTTTAATACAACGTGGATGGTGCCTGCAGGATGTTTTTTATGATCTGTTAACTCAAATATTCCTGTCAAATTACAAAATAATCTTAATTAATGCCAGAGTGAAGTTTTATTACCATAAGAATTAAAGAAGAACAAAGAGAACTGATTCCCTGCCCACCTGCCCACTTTTAAATAATTTTGGCTTTTAGCCACAACTCAAACGACTTAGAGAATAAAATAAAGACAAAAGAATCTGTGATGGGTTCATCTCTCAAGCCGTCTGCTTTCAGAAGTTAAGGCCTCAAAGGTAATACGACTCAACGATGAGAAAATTAATTTATAAATATTTTAATTCACTGAAATTAAATTCAGAGATTATTCAGAATTCTTATCCTCCTTCTAAGACATAATCTAGGTCATAGCTCAAGTATCAACCTTCATTTTGATTTTAATATTCTTGTAAGATGCTTGTCTCTAAAGAAAAATATATTAAAATTTCAAATGATCCATACATTTGAAGTAGTCTTTATATTTCTATATAATTCTATTATAATAATTATATTTTATTGTTTAAATTACTCCATATTCATAGTAGTATGGTAAAAAGTTTCCATAAAATAAACAAAACACACAGCAGTAACAAAAGCTACCACCTAGCTGAATCTATACTATTGAGTCACAAAATATAATCACTGTACTAGATTTTTAGGTATAAACAATCCCTGACTAAAAAAAAATAACAAAAACCTATATTTCAAGCATAATTTTTGCTTAGAAGTATCCTTTACTTGGAACATTTATTTAAGAAAATCTACTGCATCTCAGTAAGAACAGTGGGAGTCTGTGGGACTGCTCTCATCCTCTCCTCTCTCCCCCCAGCTCCATGGTGCAGAAGTTTTATCAGGGTGAGGTAGGCTATGAGGACTGGCGACCTGTGCTGGAGGAGGCTGACTTTATTTGGAATACAGTGTACATAGTTTCAAGTCCAGGAGCACTGTTAAAAACAATACCAATTTCAGTGGCAAAAATCAGGGAAGGCTAATATCACAGCCAGCCTGAGGTCTCAATACTGGTTGGGGGAAGCAAAAGATTAGAAGGCCAGTCAAAAATTTAATAGGGAGATCCAGGCACAAGACTTTCAAAGTTGGCCTTGATAAGAGTCTATTCTACTTATAACTGGTGATCTGGAAGGCTATGTGCATGCTCAGGAGGAACGGGAGAGGACCCTAGTAAGCTACTTGTAACTGGCTGAATGAGAAGCCTTATGACTGCAGACATAAAAGCTGAGACAGACTGAACTTGAATGCATTCCCCAAGCCACACATAGACTAACTGGCAAAAGGTAGAAGCCTACTGGCTCAAGATGTTTATGTACAACCTTTGACCAATCATTGGCTGACCACTAAATTATGCTGACGCAGGCTTAAAAGTAAAAATAAAGCAAACAAAATATCCAATTTTTAACTACAAAAAAATTATGAGGCATGCAAAGAAGCAGGAAAGTGTGATGCACACACATACACACACACACACTAGTCAACAGAAACTCTCTGAGGGGGGCCTAAATGTTAGACTTATTGACAAAGACCTAAGAGCAGCTATTGTAAGTATGTTCAAAGAACTAAAAGAAATCATGCTTAAAGAATTAAAGTATGATGACAATAACTTATCAAACAGAGGATGGTAATAAAGAGATAGAAATTATAAAAAAGAATGAAATAGAAATTCTGGAGCTGAAAGGAACAGTTACTGAAATTTAAAAAATCACTAGGTGATTTATATAAAGCAATTATTACAACACTGTATTGTTGGGTTTACAATATATGCCAGCATACTATATACATAAATATAACAATAATAGCACAAAGGAGGGGTAGAAAATGGAATTATATTGGAGCAGAATTTCTATATTTTAATGGAATTTAGTATTAATTTTAAGTAGATTGTGATAAATTAAGATGCATATTATAATTCCTATAGCAACTATAACTCAAAAAATGTAGTATTATGGGGCCAAAGTTACAAGATTATCTGCGATGGTTAGGAATATTAGATATAAACAAATCATTTTGACAACACTGAGGTATAATTTAGGTTTGTTTTTTCAAGATGATAGATTCAAGAACATAGGCTTACCTGAGATACACCTGTCATGTGCCAATGAAATTAAAGGCACATTGACTTTTCCTATGTAAATATTCTCCTGGGTATCACTATCATCAAACACATAAAAACTCAGAGACTCTGACTTAAGGTATCGGTCCAAATCCACATTCATTGGCACTGGGAAACACATATGATCATCAAACTGTGGATCATTGCTACTGGGAATGATGGCTGTATCATGGTCTGCAAAATCAAAAAACTTGTACACAACATATGGGTATGGCTGCAGGTGGCTTGCTCGGGAGTGCAGGTGGTTGCAACATCTTATTGTAATGTGAAGTTCATTTAAGTTGCCATCTGTGGAATCTGTAGAACTGAGCTGTGCAGTTTTAGGTGCTTGTTGACTTAACTGGAAAAACATACATATTTAAATTATAGTAATAATACAATTAAAAGATAAACAGCAGTGCTAACCCCCCAAGCAAATAATTTTATAAATGTACAAAAGTTGTGTATTTTCACTTCACAGTGAATTTCTCAGTAACTAAGACTCTTGGTTTTCATTCAAAAGCAATGTTCTCTAGAACATATATGAACAGATGATCCTGTGCTAGTAGCAACAAACATGAAAGACTGAGCCTACATTTGGAGTTTGGTGCTATAACCAAATACAATCAAGAAAAAAAGTTAATCCTGATTTTAAAAAATTCTATCCAATAACTAAAGAGTAAAGTGAGCAGACGGGTCCAAAGATGAATGTCCTCTAGTTTATAACTTTATCAAGAGCTAATCCTTCCAGTGATTCTGATCATATCCCATTCTTAAGCGAGAATCCAATGAATTTGGTGGGGCCGCCCAGAGAGATGATTTTGTTGTACTTGGGTTGGCCATTATTCTGAACCGCTGGGGTATAGGGAAGCAGATACCTGAGGCCAAGTTTAGGCTATATAACAAAGTCCAAATGCTACCAGAACAAGAGAACAGAGTCTGAGATAAACCTTGGAGGGGATAAAAAGCTAGGATTGAGAAGACTTTTCAGAAGACAGATGAGTAAAAGAAGTTATTAGGCAGAGCTGGAAACTACTTTATGGCCTCTTTTGGAACTAATACTCAGGTAGACAACACACAAATATTTTAGAAAACAATTGCACTGACTAACTGTTAAACTCACAATAGTTGACATGGTGCAGGACAAAGAAAATGTTGGTATTTCAGTGTCTTGCTTAGTGTTGGAGAATTCTCTGCCTTCTACAAAGGGACCCTTCTTTCACTGCACTTCTGAATGTGGATTGAGCATCTGGGACTTCTGATTCTAGAGAATTTTATTGGAGAAGGAAAAATAGCTACTTTCCTTCACGGAGACATCTGGTGGTGTAGTGAGGGGAAACCTGAGAAGGGAATTATAATATGGCTTTCCCAGGGCTAGTTTGCACTCAGCTATAGAAGGCTGAGTGGCATGATTTATAAAGTATCCCCTCCTCTTCTCCCCTTAAATTTAACCACAAAGGCTGAAATTTCACCAATAAGTGACTCATTCAAGACAGAAACTGGGAGTCTGAAAACCTTTAAACCACAAAACTAAATAAATAATCTAGTCTTCCTATTTTTAATGCCCATTTCCCAAAGTGTGTTCTGAAGAATACTAGTCCTGAAAGATGGTTTCTGGGAAAAGGGTACCATTGTTTCTTACGTGTGGGAATCAATGTTAGTCAAAAAAACCAAACCAAACCCACTGCCGTCGAGTCGACTCTGACTCAGCAATCCTACAAGACAGAGTACAACTGCCCCATAGGGTTTCTAAGGCTGTAAATCTTTATGGAAGCAGACTGCCACATCTTTTTCTCATGGAGTGACTGGTGGGTTCAAATCGTCGTCCTTTCAGTTAGCAGCCGAGCACTTTAACCACTGCATCACCAGGGCTCCTTTTAGTCAAGGTTCTTTAACTGAAAGTTATAGAAACCAATTCTATCTAGCATAAACAACAAAAAAGTGACTTCAATTTAAGGCTATAGAAATATTTCATGGAACTGTGAAGCAGAAATGTGTTTGGGTCTTAGAAACGTAGTGGGACTGGAAAACCATCAGAATTTACTGTCTTGTGTCTATTTCTCTCTATAGGCTTGCTCATTATCCTCTCTCCAGACCCATTTTCTTTCTTTTGGTGGTTAACATGCTAGAAGATGGCTAACCCAAAGGTCCCAATTTTACATGTTTCAGGCATCCTTTCTCTTGATCTGAGAGGGGGCAGAATCTGATTGGTCCAACTGGGGTCAGATGGATATTCCTGAATGATTAGTTATGACTAGGTGTGAAAGTTCCAAGAGAAAGAGGGTAAAATAGTTATGACTTGAGCAAACATTCCAAAATGCTTCCCCTATATTCTATCCCTGTCACTCAACTTAAGTGCATAGTTTATGCTTTCTTTTGAGATTCACATTACACATGAGAAGTCCTAAAGTCAAGAATCTTATTTAACTTTTCTCAAGTCAGTGTTCTCTGCATTCACTGGATCATGGGACTCTTTTTGGAAATAACAGCCATTAAAGACTCCATGGAGCATAGTTTGGGAAATGCTGCCCTGAAGAGTTGTATTTAAACTCCCAATTCTCAGTAAGAGAATATTTTATTTATTTTACATTCTACTTTGGGTTTCAGAAACCTAACATGAAGGAACTCAAAGAAGGACAATAACTGATAGTCCAAGAATAGCCATTTCTTTCCTTAGCAGCAGAAATTGTAACAAAAATTGTTTGCTATTTTATTGCAATTATATTTTTAAGTGCCCTGGGTAGTACCAGGGAGTTCCTTTGTGGTGGTGGAACAGTTCTGTATTTGATTGCGGTGGTGGTTACATGGTTACATGAATCTATACATGCAACTGCACAGCACTATACACATACACACACACGTGCATGGTGAAATCCGAATAAGGTCTGTAGTCTAGTTAACAGTATTGTACCGATGTCAGTCTCCTGGTTTTCATACTGAACTACAGCTACGTAAGATGTTACAACTCAGAGAACAGTACAGGGGACCTCTCTGTACTATTTTTGTGACTTCCTGTCAATCTATAATTATTTCAAAATAAAAAGTTAAAAAAGTTTTTTAAAAAACCCCATATGGTGGCTGTGAAAGACAATGGTTTCAGTTTAAAGCATGATATATAAAAAAATATAAAATTTTTGTGTCATAAAAGGGTCTTAAAGTCAAACAAGCTTACCCATTGCATTTTCTCTGGTCCCTTAAAATTTGATGTTATATATCCCAGAGCTTTTGCTCGTTCTCGATAAAGTCGAATTGCTTGATCCATTGGAACTCTTAATCGGAACCAGTATTCCACTGTGCCAAAATTTGGGATGTCTCCTTTAGCTCCTACAAATCAATACATAACCCCCTGTTAAAACAGTCCCATAAATTAAAATATATACCAACAAAAATACATCAATGGTATTAAGCATTAAAACTAAAATTTTATACTGAGTAAAATAATACATGACTTACACAAATGATGTGTGACTGGAAAATAACAGAGATGAAGAAAATCGTTACTTCTGCAAGTCTGAGTTTCACTGTATGTTAAATATTATTATATTAACTATGTCAAACTATGTTTGAGATATTCCAATTTATACTATTTCCAGCCTTCTGGAAAATGAGGAAGAATCTAAACATTTTAGCAAATAGTCCACAGATTCTTTTGATGTTGCAGTACTTTTTTTTTTTTTTACCAAGTTGCACTCAATGTAGTCTGAGAGATACAGTATGAAACCCCCAAATTATAAATATATTTCACATTCTAATTCAACTTTCAATAAATCTTTGGCACTTTCCCACTTCTCTACTATACCACAAGTAGAAGGAAAAACGAAACAGCTAGGCCAAATATATACTGTACGCAATATGCCCTTACATGTTGTTTGCCCTACACACCAAGTCTCAGTCCTTGGTCACCTTCTCTTCTCCCTCTCTGTGTGATATTATCTAGGCTCAAGGATTAAAATATATTCCATATGTCAATGACTTCCACTTGTATATCTCCATTGCTGGCTGTCAGACTTGTATATCCTATTGCTTACCTTGGCTGCTAATCTAAAGGTCAGCGGTTCGGACTTACCCAGCAGCTCCATGGGAGAAAGATCTGGTGATCTGCTCCCGTAAAGATTACAGCCAAGAAAACTCTATGGGGCAGTTCTACTCGGTCACATGGGATCGCTGTGAGTCAAAATCCATCACCAACAACAACAACCTGACATCTCCATTTGCATGTCAAATAGGCAGGCCAATCTTAACTTGTCTAAACAGAATTCATGATTTTCTTCCTCAGATTTGTTCCTTTCCCAGTCTTCAGCATCTCAAATGGTATCACCATTCTCCTAGTTGCTCAAGCCAAAAATTCTTGCCTCCTATATTTCCTCATTACCCTACATTCAATTGATAAGCAAGTCTTAAAGGAAGAGTTAAGAAAATATGTACTGAATATGACCACTTCCCATTTCCACTTTCACTACCATTTTAATTCAAGCCACCATCATCTTCCCACAGATTAATGCAACAGCTTGTTAATGCTCCTGTTTTCCCTCTTGCCCCCTAGAGACTATTCTACCCACAGCAGCAAGAGTGATTTTTCTAAAATCTATGTGCAATCATGTTACTTCTCTGCTCAAAACTCTCCATTAACTTTAATCATTCTGGAAAAAAAAAAAAAAAAAAATCCAAACTCCTTACCATGACCTACAAGGCTCTATAGTATGAATGGGTCTCTGCCTATTGCTCTGATCTCTGCTCTAGCCACAGGCCATCTTGCTATTCTTCCAACATGTCAGGCTTGTTCCACCCTCAGGTCTTTGGCTTTGTTGTTTCCTCTGCATGAAACATTCTTCCACTGGATCCTGGCATGGATCTGCATTCAGGTCTTTACCAATGTCACTCTCTCAGGGAAACCTTTACCTGAATTAGCAACTTTTCCTCTCTCTCTCTCTAGCCTCTTGTCTTGATTAATTTCTCTCTCTCTCTCTCACACACAGACACACAGACACACAGACACACAGACACACAGACACACACACACACACACGTTTTATTGCCAAACTTCCTCTCTAGAAGGTAAGTTTCACAAGGGCAGAGGCTCCGCCTGATTTTGTTTTTCTAGTGTCTAGGAACAATGATAACATGATAAACTCTCAAAAAATATTTGGTGAGTGTACCAAAATTAATGTTTAATCAGACAAGGGTATCAATTTGTTAAATAAACATTTGCAATTATAAATTTTTAAAAAAATAGTAGCCTTTGTGATACGAAAGGCACGAGCAACAAAAGAAAAAAACAGATAAATTAGATTTCATCAAAATAAAACCTGTGTGCATCAGTAGGTTCTGAAATCAAGAAATTAAAGAGACAACCTACGGAACAGGAGAGAATATTTGGGAACCGTATATTGGTAAGGGTCTAATATCCATATTATATAACAAAACTTCTACAACTCTACAACAAAAAGATAAACAATCCAATTTAAAAAAAGGCAAAGGACTTGAATAGACATTTCTCCAAAGAAGATATGCGAATGCACAATAAGCACATGAAAAGATGCTCAATGTCATTAACCATTAGGAAAACACAAATCAAAACCACAGTGAGATACCACTTCACCACCAGTAGGATGGCTATTGTCTTAGTCATCTAGTGCTGCTATAGCAGAAATACCACAAGTGGATGGCTTTAACAAAGAGAAGTTTATTTCCTTAGAGTAAAGTAGGCTAAAAGTCCAAATTCAGGGTGTCAGCTCCAGGGGAAGCCTTTCTCTTTCTGTCGGCCTTCTCATCAATGTTTCCCTGGACTAGGAGCTCCTCTGCGCAGGGATCCTGGGTCCAAAGGACACGCTCTGCTCCTGGCACTGCTTTCTTGGTCGTATGAAGTCCCCCTTCTCTGCTTGCTTCCCTTTCCCTTTATCTCTTGTAAGGTAAAAGGTGGTGCAGGCCGCACCCTAGGGAAACTCCCTTTACATTAGATCAGGGATGTGATCCGGGTTAAGGGTGGTGTTACAACCCCACCCTAATCCTCTTTAACATAAAATTATAATCACAAAATGGAGGCCAACCACACAATTCTGGGAATCACGGCACAGCCAAATTGATACACACATTTTTGGGGGGATATAATTCAAACCATGACAGCTATTATCAGAAGAACTGAAAATAAGTGTTGGCAAGGATGTGGAGAAATTGGAATACTCTTCCATTGCTGGTAAGATTTTAAAATGGCGCGGCCACTGTGGAAAACAGTTTGGCAGTTACTCAAAAACTTAAACATAGAGCTACTGTATGACCGGGAAATTCCACTCCTAGGTATATACCCAAATGACTTGAAAGCAGGAACTGAAACAGATATTTGTATACCAATGTTCGCTGTAGCATTATTATTCACAATAGCCAAAAAGCAGAAACAACCCAAGTGTCTATCAACAGATGCAATAGATAAACAAAATGTGGCATATCCATACAATGGAATATTATTCAGCCATAAAGAAAAATGAAATTCTGATATACGCTACAACATAGATGAACCCCGAAAACATGCTAAGTGAAGTAAGTCAGACACAAAAGAACAAATATCACATGATCCCACTTATATAGACCAGGCAACTGCACAGAGACGAAAGTTTATTAGTGGTTACTAGGGACAGAAGGGGGGGGAAGGGACAGTTATTGTTGAAGGGGTACTTAGTTTTTGTTTGGGGTGATGAAAAATTTTTGGAAATAGTGGTGATAGTTGCACAAGATGGTGAATATAATTAACACCACTGAATTGCACACTTAAAAATGATTAAAATGGCATTTTTTTTTGGTTTTATATATATGTTTTACCACAATAATAAAAAAAAAAAAAACAGCCATTGTACTAACAATCATCAATGACATTTAAGAGAACCCACTCAATTATGGGCAGCTAAATTAGAGAATGCTGTCTTTACCCTACAGGCACTTTTAATATGTAAGAGAAGACACTAATGTAGAACGTCATATTAATATATAAGCCAGATTAGTAATTCAAAGATCAAAATCTTATGACTGTACTTACCAACCAAACTTGCTGTGCAAAATATTCGACCACTTTTTTCTAGAATTTCATGGAATCTCAACTGACATGCTGCAATTGTTTCATAATCTGTGCTGTAGGCTTGGTAGACCTCAAGAGTGATAGAATTCTTCTGAATGTATTGCAAAAATAAGTCATTAACATGGACAAGATACTGAGAAGTAAAGTTATATTCTGGGTGAAGGCCTCGTACTATGGGAGTTGTCTGTAGTTCAAAATCATAGAAAGCATAGGTACAGAAAGTGACGGGCTCTTTATCGCCAGATGCCTGGAAAACTTCAGAAGAAAAGGTTACTTTGCTGATATGGATTTCAAATAGATTTTCGCCTCGTTCTAAGTGGATGGTTTCATCAAATTCATCAACAGAGTCATCTGGCATGATTTCTGGTTTAAATTTGTACTGCTTGGTGCCATAGGCAATATCCTTTAATTGAGCTGCAAGAGAAGATGAACAGTTTAGAGATTTTTAAATATTGACATATGAAGATACAAACTGGCTTTTGAAGTGGTAGGAAGTCTGCAAGAGTACTTTTTGTGAACAGTCTCAATCTTAAATTCTATGACCACACACTACTTTTCTGTACACAATACTGTACTATACAGAAATCTATCATTTATTTAGACATTATTTAACAACGTAAGTTGTAATATACTCCTAAACTAAGGAAAAGGGAAAAGAAAAAAGGCCTTTGAATGAACAGCTGAGGTAAATATTTGGATATTTACCTACTCCTCAGCCTCTGTTCTTTCCATTATCTTTTCTCTTATAAAGTCAGTTTCTCTTTCCACTGGCTCCTACCCTTCAGCATATTAAGATATATCCTTTTCTACTTTTGAGGGTGATGTTGTTGTTAGGTGCTGTTGAACTGGTTCCAACTCCTAGCGACTCTACAGGACAGAGTAGAAATGCCTCATACGGTTTCCAAGGAGTGGCTGGTGGAATTGAACTGCTGACCTTTTGTTTAGCACCCGAGTTGTTTCACAGGTGTATACATATGCCAAAACCAATGAAATTGTACAGTTTAAACATGTGCAGTTAAAAGAATGTTAACTAGACCTCTATAAAGCTTTTTAAATAAAAGATATATCCCTTTCTAGATACACTTTCCCCCATGTTAGACCCAAATTTCTAGAAAGAGTAATGTATACTTGTGTCTCCGACTCCTCATCTAAACAGACACGTTTCAATCTGCAAACAGCATCTGCCTTACTGTTTTTGTGAAACTATTCCAAAAAGGGCCTGCAAAAACCCATTAATTGCTAGATCCAATGGACTGTGGTCCCTACATCACTTGATTTCTTCACTTTATTTGACACTGATGACCACTTTCTCATTTGTAAACTTCTGTTCTACCTTGGCTTCTGTGACCTCATCTCCCCCTGCTTCTCCTCCTACCTCTTTTTTCATCCTTCAAGGGTTTCTCTTTCTGGGCTAGTCTGCTGGGCTGTTTTTAATCCTCTTAGTCTACATGTTCTCATGGGTGATCTCATTCACTTTTATGACTTCTGCTACTATGAATATGCTGAAGACTTCATTTTTTTTTTCATTTTATTGTGTTTTAGGTGAAAGTTTACAGTGCAAATTAGTTTCTCATTCAAAAATTTATACACAAATTGTTTTCTGACGTTGGTTGCAATCCCTGCAGTGTGTCCGCACTCTCCCCCTTTCCCTTTCCACCCTGGGTTCTCAGTGTCCATTTGTCCAGTTTTCCTGTCCCTTCCTGCCTTCTCATCTTTGCTTTTGGGCAAGTGTTGCCCATTTGGTCTTATATATTTGATTGAAATAAGAAGCACATTCCTCACATGTATTATTGTTTGTTTTATAGGCCTGTCTAATCTTTGGCTGAAAGGTAGACTTCGGGAGTTGCTTCAGTTCTGAGTTAGCAGGGCATCCAGGGTCCACCGTCTCAGGGGTTCTTCTAGTCTCTGTCAGACAAGTAAGTCTGGTCTTTTTTGTGAATTTGAATTTTGTTCTACATTCTTTTCTCACTCTGTTTGGGGCCGTCTATTGTGATTCCTGTCACAGCAGTTGGTGGTGGTAGCTGGGTGCTATCTAGTTCTTCTGGCCTCAGGCTGGTGGAGGTTATGGTTCATATGGTCCTATATTTCTATTTTTAATTCATATTTTTTCCTGAATCCCAGAACCATATATCTAATGGTTTGCTGAACACCTCTATCTAGATATCCCCTAAAATACAAACAAACAAACAAAAACCAAACCCGACTAATAGCCACCCTATAGGACAGAGTAGCATTGCCCCATACAGTTTCCAAGGAGTGGCTGGTAGATTCGAACGGATAATCTTCTGGTTAGCAGCCTGAGCTCCTAACCACTGCACCAACAGGGCTCCAGATACCCCCTAGGCAAGCCAAACTCGACATAACCAAAACAGAATGCATCCTCTCGTCTTCTAGTTATTCCTGTACTTTAAATCTCAAGTGATGGTGTTACCATTCGTCTAGTTGCCCAAGCTAGATACCAGAGAGTCATCCTAGATTCCTCTTTTGGTTTTACTCTCCCCAAATCTATAGAGTCAGTACTATTTAACACTATTTCCTAGGTCTTTATCAGATTTGTCCCTGTCCTCTCCATCTCCACTGATGCTACCTCATTTATACTCCTAGTGTTTACTACCTAGATTATTATGGAATCCAATCTGCTTCCTTCCTTCAAATCTTACCCATTCTTCACAATACCAGTAACATAATCTAAATTGCAATTCTGGGTTTATCATTCCATACCTTAAAAATCCCTCAGTGGGTCTCCAATCTTCAAGGTGGCCTACTGGGCCTTCATGATCTGGTTCTTTCCAGTCTTACCTCCAGGCTCTCCTGCCTTTACTAATCCTGGGTTCCGATCAGATGGCCCCATGTGCAGTTTTTCAATTGTACCACAATTCTTCACACTCAGGCATTTCTACTTGCCTCACTTACTGCCTGGAATGTCTTTTATTGCTTTTACTTGCTGGTGAATTTTGGCATCTTCAAAGACTCCACACCTACTGTGTGAAGTGTTCCCTGAATCTTCAGGTATAAATAGGCATTCTCTCAATGTTTCCTTGATACCTTTTACATTTTCCTAGCTTCACACTCTCCATAGTAAAGTGCAACTATCTTTTCACTTGTGCACATCATGTACTAGATTGAAGTTCCTTGAGTGTGGTGCCTCAGCTTTGTTCTTATTTGTATACTCAATACCTAGCACTTTGCTTAGGACACACTAAGAGCTTGATCATGTTTGTAGAATGAATCACTGAATTTATGGGATAGGTAAAATATATTAGTAACGATTTAGTAAGACTTGAAAGGAATGAAAATTAACCTCCTTTTTAATTCAAGAAAATTCCACTCAGCAAATTTTTATTGAGTACTACTTCGAATGAAATCACACACTGGTCCTTGATTTTTGGAAAACCCTGTTCAGTCAAGTAGACATATTTATAGAGCCCTTCTACATAAAGCAGTGGTTCTCAAAGTGTGGTATGGGGTCACTTGAGGGTCCCTGAAGCCCTTTTGCAGGTCTGTGAGGTCAAAACTATTCTCCTATACTAAGACATTATCTGACTTTTCACTCTTATGCTCTCATAAATGTTCAACGGAATTTTCCAGATGTGTGATATCACAACAGACTCAATGAAGAAGCAGATATAAAAATTTAGCTCTTTTATTAAACTAGACACTAAAGATTTGCAAAATTATAAAATAATACAACTCTTCTTTTTTTTTGAAAATACAGTTATTTTTCATAAATACTATTATGTATGTTAACTTGTGGAGCCCTGGTGGTGCAGTGGTTAAGAGCTTGGCTGCTAACCAAAAGGTCAGCAGTTTGAATCCACCAGCCGCTCCTTGGAAACCCTATGGGGCAGTTCTACTCTGTCCTACAGGGTCACTATGAGTCGGAATTGACTCAGTGGCAATGGGTTTTGTTTTTGGTTTGGTATGTTAACTTGTAGTGGATTGATTATTATTATTTTCGTATGAATTAAGGTAGGTTTTAAAAAAATTTTTCAGTTTCAATTTCTAATATGATAAATACCCATCAGTATAAATGATATAAACAAAAGCTTTTTTGGGGTCTTTAATAACTTTTAAGAGTATAAAATTACTGCCAGCATAGATCACTGACTTAAGTATTGTATGGCAGGGGGCACAACAGACGAAGTACTTATAATTGTGGAACTTATACTGTAGTCACAGACAACAGGTAAAACTCTAACAACTGAAGAGCACTTATATAATATAATTTCCAAACATATATTTACTCAATATGGAGGATAAACTGCGAAGGTAGATTTTTCAAAATATAGTCTTGAACATGCACCTTGATTGCTTGGTGTTACTGTTCAATATACAAAATCACAACCCCAGGATCTCTAGGGTTAGGACTCAGGGTGCTATGCTTTCAACCAATTCCCCAGGTGATCTTCATGCTTGCTAAAGTCTGAAAATCACCGAAAGGGCATTTCAAGCAGACGAATGGCTGGAAGTGATCAAAGCCAGCTTCCTGGGACTGGGTGTGTTGAGTTAGATTTTGAAGCAGAGAAGGGTATATCTTAGTAGTCAGGGGAGAAAGGAGGTTCAGGTGGAAAATCAGCATGAACAAAGGCATGGCGGTAGGACCAAGAAAGATGAATCTGACAAAGAGTAAGCCTACCAGTTTGGCTGAGATGCATATGTTGCTTACAAGTGAAATTAGAAATGAAGTGGTAAATTTGGGTCTGTGGTACTGTATGAAGTACTCTGAAATCATGACTGCAACGCTGAATTAAAAAAGCAGTAGGCAATTACTAAAAATTCTTAAGCAGAAAAGAAGCAGGAAAAAAAAAAGTCTTTCTGGTATATTATTATTATAACTATGAATTGGGGAAAAATAGAGTAAAAAGAAGTTGTGAGTATAGATTTGGATATTTTCAACTGTTATAAAATCCATTGCTTTGGTTACTGTGGACAAAGAACTGTGCACATTGTACCTTCTAATTTCTGGATGCGTGCTGCCCTGATATCAAGAAGATGAACATACTGTTCCACTTTGAGTTCACAATCTTGCTGTAAATTTTCCATTTTCTGGGTCACTACCTCAACTTCCATCTAAAAAATAAGAGACAACAAATTTCAATGTCTATGATTCGTTCCATTTTCATTTTTCAAGGCTAATATGATTTAGGCATTTTCTAGACCCTGGGAATACCAAGAGCTGTAAACCATAGTGTCCTGACCTCAAATAGCTTACAGTATAGAAAATTATGCTTGGCAATGTTCATAGATCAAGTAAAACTAAAAATTTAAAAAAAAGCAAAAAAAAAAAAGAAAAACTCTGGATTCGTTTTTATGAAGATGATTTTTCCTTTCATTAAAAGCTAATACATTATCTCAGAACCTACTATACAGCCACGTTAGTCAAAACAGCCTGGTACTGGTACAACGACAGAAACACAGACCAACAGAACAGAATTGAGAACCCAGATGTAAATCCATCCACTTATGGTCAGTTGATCTTTGGCAAAGGACCAAAATCCATTAGATGGGGGGGTGGGGTGGGTGGAGGGAGAAAGTCTTTTTAACAAATGGTGGCAAAACTGGATGTCCATCTGCAAAAAAAAAAAGAAACAGGACCCATACCTCACACTATACACAAAATCTAACTGAAAATGGATCAAAGGTCTAAATATAAAACCTAAAATGATAAAGATCATGGAATAAAAAGTAGGGAAGTGCTAGGGGTCCTAATATATGGCATAAATAGAATACAAACCATAACTAACAATGCACGAATACCAGAAGATAAACTAGATAACTGGGAGCTCCTAAAAATTACACACTTATGCTCATCAAAAGACTTCACCCAAAGAGTAAAAAGAATCTAGGCTGGGAAAAAATTTTTGGCTACGACATACCTGACAAGGGTCTGTATCTCTAAAATCTATAGAATACTTCAACACTTCAATACCAAAAAGACAAATAATTCAATTAAAAAATGGGCAAAGGATATGAACAGACACTTCACCAAAGAAGACATTCAGGCAGCGAACAAACACACGAGGAAATGCTCGTGATCATGAGCCATTGGAGAACTGCAAATCAAAACTACAATGAGATACCATCTCACCCCAACATTACCGGCATGAATCAAAAAACAGAACATAACAAATGTTGGAGAGGTTGCAGGGAGACTGGAACTCTTACAGATTGTTGCTAGGAAGGTAAAATGGTACAACTACTATGGAAAACGATATGGCGCTTCCTTAAAAAGCAGAAATACCATACAATCCGGCAATCCCATTCCTAGGAATATACCCTAGGAATAAGAGCCATCACTTGACTAGACATATGCACACCCATGTTCATTGCCGCATGACTCATAATAGCAAGAAGATGGAAATAACCTAAGTACCCATCAACTGATGAATGGATAAACAAAATACGGTACATACATAAAATGGCATATTATGTAATGATAAAGAGCAATGATGAATCCTTGAAACATCTCACAACATGGATGAATGTGGAAGGCGTTATGCGGAGTGAATCTTTGTTTATAAATATTGTATGAGACCACTATTACAAAAACCCAAGAAAAGGTTTACACAGAGAAAAAAAACAATCTTTGATGGTTACGATGAGGAGACAGGTAGGGAGGGGAAATCACTAACTAGACAGTAGACAAGCATTAACTTTGGTGAAGGGAAAGACAACATACAATATGGGGGAAGTCAGCACAATTTGACCAAGGCAAAGCTATAGAAGCTTCCTAGACACATCCAAACACCTTGAGGGACCGAGTTACTGGGGCTGAGGGCTGAGGACCATGGTCTTGGGGGACATCTAGGTCAACTGGCGTAACATAGTTCATAAAGAAAATGTTCTACATCCTACTTTGCTGAGTAGCATCTGGGGTCTTAAAAGCTTGTGAGAGGCCATCTAAAACACATCTACTGGCCCCACCACATTCGGAGCAAAGGAGAATGTAAAAAACCAAAGACACAAGGAAAACATTAGTCCAAAGGACTAATGGACCACATGAACCACAGCCTCTACCAGCCTGAGGCCAGAAGAACTAGCTGGTGCCTGACTACCACCACCGACCACTCTGACAGGGATCACAACAGAAGGTGCCAGACAGAGCAAAAGAAAAATGTAGAACAAAATTCACAAAAAAAGACCAGACTCACTGGTCTGACAGAGACTGGAAGAACCGCTGAGACTACGGACCCTGAATAATCTGCTACTCAGAACTGAAGCCACTCCCAAAGTCCATCTTTCAGTGAAAGATTAGACAAGTCTATAAAACAAACAATAATACATGTGAGGAACGTGCTTCTTATTTTAATCAAGTATATGAGACCAAGTCGGCAACATTTGCCCAAAAGCAAAGACGAGAAGGCAGGAAGGGACAGGAAAACTGGACAAATGGACATAGAGAACCCAAGACAGAAAAGGAAAGGAGGAGAGTGCTGACACATTGCAGGGACTGCAACCGATGTCAGAAAAATAATTTGTGTATAAATTTTTGAATGAGAAACTAATTTACACTGTAAATTCCACCTAAAACACTGTAAAATTAAAAAAAAAAAACCCAAAACCAAAAACTAATATAATACATGGTTGTGGCAGGCCTTTAGGATAACTACAACCCATTTGCAGAATGTGCTAACACCAATAAAAATGAGTTCATTGCCACTCTTAGCTCCCTAAAATCAGAGACTGAAAACAAAAACGTTTCTTTTTAAACTATTTATCTTGTTACGAGGCTAAATCCCAGGGATATGGTAATATAGACTATACTAAATGATAATACATGATACTTCTTAGAAAAGTAAACCATCAGTAGAATATTATGAGATCTACTCTTCTGATTCAGTGTATTACATTACCTGATAATCCTTATTAATTTTATGTTGCATAATCAACATGTTTCTTGTCTTCTCAAGTTCTTGCACAGTTTCTGCATGAGTTGCTTGCAGCTCTCTCAGGGAACGTTCTAGATCTTTGTTACCTTTATTGTCTACTTTGTCTAAAAATGAAAGGTCTCCATTTTTTTGCTCTTTTTGAGCCTAAAACAAAAGTATATTTTATTAGTGAAATAGGAATTTCTAAAACGCAATCATGTGAATTAATATAGATATAGCACGGAAAGATCATTAATTGAAAACAGATGTATTTCCACTTTTTTCCATGAAGAATAAAGCAGTCCTGATAAGGAAAATATATTTGGATAGACATTTGGAACAATTACAGAAAAAAAAAATTTCTTGACATGTAAAAAGAATCTACATTTATTTCTATTTCATTTGATTAAAATCTACATTGCAATGTGAAAGGAAAGAAATGTATTTGTGTGTATTTGTGTGTGTGTTTGTGTGTGTGTCTTCTTATAAATATCCTGGATCTAGAAGGTATCTTCTTGTTACATTTATAATTCAATATTTTACTTAAGATAATAGGGTGCACCAAGGTTTCATAAGACAGAAAATGGTCGATCAGTTTTAAAGTGAGGCACATAAAAGTAAAATGTTTATTACGGTTAGAAAAAGTGCTCTACATATGAGTTTTGACGTCTATTTTAATGTAATTTTGATGTCATTATGAAATAGGTATATGCTGTAACTAAATGTCACCTGACCACTTTCCTGAGTCTTAGTAGAGTTGAAAGTGACATACATGCATATAAATAAAGACGCACCAAGTTTCAGAAGACGCACAAATAATACTCTCTCCAAGTATAAAGGTTACAGATAGGAGTCCTCATTACACTGAAACAGTTATATGCTGACATGAAATTCATGGTGAAGTTCAGAAAGTTACCTTTATAAGCAGGAGTGCTTCACTCAATTCATCAGCATTAATATCACTCTCCTGCAGTAGAGAGAATAAGCAAAAGCTCGCAGATATTAATGGAAAGTACCAGAGACATGCCAACTAATCGGAACACAAGCTGCCTGATACCATAAATTAATAAACTAAGTAATATTATTTGTATTCTTTTGCTCTGTAGTACAGTTTTCTAAAATATTTAGATAAAAATTTTGAGTTTATTTCCTAAGTAAGAAAAGAGTTTACCTTGTTGAAGACCTTCACGCGGTTTTTAAGTTCATCAAGTTGTTGCTTTTGTTCCAGATACTGTAACTGCAGTTCTCTATTCTCTTGAATGAGTTTTTCATTTCGGTCTTAAAAACACAGTCCACACATTTAAAAAGATAAGTAAGAATTAGGTGTAAGGACACATTTTGAATTAATTCCTGATACACACCAAGCTTGATCTAGTGTTGTTCTGGTCAGAAAGGAAACTGAGCTAGCACCTAGACAAAGGCAGCAGGGGAATGAGAAACGAAGGAATGCTATCATGTGTCTACCATATGACTCACTTGCTTATCAAAAACTTAAGACTTAAACTCATAGTATTAATATCAGGAAATTGTGGCCTCTGGAACTTCAAAGGAAGATTCTATGTAAAATAAGAAAATATGTTTCTAAATCTAGGATTTTTACTTACTTATTAAGGGTCCTGAAAGACATGCAAACAGAAATTTTGTCTTTTAGTTTTCTAATTAGCTTCCTTCAATTTTCTTTTCCTAATTTAGCATGAAATCTTTGTATTAAAACCAGATTATTTCTCTGCTAATTAAATCTCTGCTAATTAAACTCTGATTCCATAATTTCAATCAACCATACTTATAGCCAATCTGTTACGACAGGTAGACAGACATGGATTCTTGACCGATATATGGTAGTAATAATTCATGCCTGCTCTTTATTCACTGAGTTCACGCTATTAATTAGCAGGACATAAACTTAGAGCTATTATTAAGGAACGAAGATGGGCTACATTGGCCTAGGCACTCACTTGTCATGATCAACTAACAGGAGTGTAGAGTATTGAAGACAGCAAATCTAAACAGAGACCATTTTCTAAAAGGTCGACAGTTTGAATCCACCAGCTGCTCCTTGGAAACCCTACGGGGTAGTTCTACTCTGTTCTATAGGGTCGCTATGAGTCGGAATTGACTCGACGGTGATGGGTTTGGTTTTTGGTTGGTGGCACAGTGGTTAACAGCTCAGCTGCTAACCAAAAGGTTGGCAGTTTGAATTCACCAACCACTTCTTGGAAACCCTATGGAGTAGTTCTACATGTCCTATAGGGTTCTATGAGTCAGAAACAACTCGAGGGCAATGGGTTTAACGGGTATCAAACATGTTTAACTTTTTTAAAAAAAGCATAACAGCTAACTAACAAATCTACTGCATTCTTTAGTCTCATGTTCTTAAGTGTACTCTTTGCTAGCATTCATTGTGGTGGTCAAGCATCCTCCTTTGCTGGCTCCCTGTGGACCAACTCTAAACCATATCATCCAAAGTGTCTCCACTAATTTCATCCAAGTTTCAAAGATTTATGTTTGTCATAAGTCCTCAATCCAAGTTGTACGTTTTTGTTTCCTTTTCTTAAAAAAACTAAAATAAATCAACACATTTGCCAAGAATTCTTTTACATAAATACATTCAAACACTGACTGTATTTTATACAAAAATATGTTTCTGACTTTTATAATGCTTTGTGTTCCCAAGATATAAATATTACATACAAGTAAAAATGTTAAAATTACACAGTTAAGAAAAAAATGGATTAAATTTGGATGTTTTTAATGTCACATATTTTCCTGGCAAACTAAAAAGTAAAATAATTTGTGATCCTAGGGTACACACACACACACACACACACACACACACACAACTTAAACCTGTTGCTGTCTAGTCGATTCCGACTCATAGTGACTCTACAGGACAGAGTAGAAGTGCCCCATTGGGTTTCCAAGGAGTGGCTTGTGGATTCAAACTGCCAACCTTTTGGTTAGCAGCTGAGCTCTTAACCACTGCACCACAAGGGCTCCTCCATAAAGATTACGGCCTTGGAAACCCTATGGGGCACTTCTACTCTGTCCTGTGGGGTCACTATGAGTTGAAATCGACTCGAGGGCAAAGGGTTTTTGGTAAGGTGAGCTAAAGAGTAAAGGACATGACTGCTCCATCTTCATCCAGACACACTGTATTTTGATTACTTTTATGTCGCAGTTTTTCTATCCTTTCAAATTTTCAGAGCATGGTTCATAAGAATGATATGCTAACAGGTATAAACTTATTCAAACGTTTCCATCCTTTACTGATTTCTGTTTCAACAGTGATGTCCTTGTTTCACTGATATTTTTAAAACTAGTGTGTTATCAGCAGGAAAACAAGACATTCCTGAATACCAGTAAGTTTCTCTCTACTGAATTTTATATAGAACTATCCACTATATATATATTTATCAAACTGTTTATTGGGGATATAACTTCTGGGTCTTGAACTATATCGAGACCCTATAGTTCAAAGAGGAAATAGACTTGCTGAATTATAATATGAAAAATCAAAGCACCCTGTACAAGATGAAAAATAACCTCCTTACCTTATGATTTGACAAAAAGCAGGTTAAGCTGAACTGCATTGTATTCAAATCAAATAACATTTCACTCTTTTGAAATTATGTTCTTCCAGCACACCATTAATAAGCAGAGTGCAGAGAACAATTCAACTAAACAATTTTCAGAGCTCCTTTGTGCTAATATCTTCAGCTGTGATCAATATAACCATATGCCTTATGCTGAATTATGCATTTCAGCTAAAGATAGAAAGGAACTTTCAAAAGCAGGCCCTTAAACACATGCAGTTAATTTAAGCATTAACCAAATGCAAACTGCATTTACATATCCTTCCCCCACGTATTCACACAATCTGAAACTAATTTGTACCTTGAATAAAGAGGTGAGTATTCTCTAAAAATAATTTGCCAGTTAGATGAATGACTACAAGAAGCCAAGGAAACATCTTCTGGCAAAGAACACTTGGTACATGAATGAAAAGGTAAACGTGTGAAGGGCCTTCAAAGTAACATTAAACAATCTCAAAATTGGTAATACAAAAAGGAACTTTCTAAATAAAAGATTCCCTTGAATAGACAATTTCAGTTTTTTTGCTTAGCATTTTCCTGGAAAAAGGAGTTAAAGGCGGCAATATTTTTCCTCTAACCTACTGCAACATTTTCACAAAGAAATGAAAAATTAAATCCATAAACTGGTAAATTTCAGGTTATTCAAACAAAAATAAGCTTGTAAAATAAAAGCTGCATTAAATAAAGATAGTTTCAGTTGTAGTAATTTTTCTTAAGAAAATAAGTAGATAAATATATAAAGATTTGTTTATGGTACTTAAAAAAACGGAAGCTACTTAAATATTCACCAACAGAAGACTGTTAAATATTCTATGGCACATCTATACACCGGAAAAACCGTAAGAGATACTATAAATGATGATGCTTTAGATTTATATTTATGCTCAAGGAATGATTTCACAATATATAGTAAACAGAAAAGCACATTATGAAACTGTATCTATATATGTAGAAACAACTCTGAAAGGACATACATCAAAATATTAACAGTGATTATCTTAGAAGTTACAGGATTGAGTGATTTTTAAAGAACTTTTTATTGCTTATTGGATTTTTTTTTACAGTACATATGCATTATTTTTATTATCCAAAAAAGATACTTGCATTTTATATGAAAATAAAAAAGAACCAGTAAAAAATATGAGGAAAAGACTAATCAAATCAAAATAACTTAGCAATCACAGTACTTAATAGGGTTAATTCAACAACAATAAATAGGTTACTAAAAGGAAAGAAACATTGAGATTCTTTCTCCTTAAGAAGAGTTTCTTTTCAGAGACCAATTCAGTCGTCTGAAAGATAAGTTTTGAAATTACATGATGATACAGGCACAGTTTCTTGATATCTAGGGTAATAGAGAACACGCAGTAATAATAAGGGGTTATTAAGCTTCTCTTTCTTTTGTAAGAATTAGCAATTTAGATCTGTTTTTGAAAAAGAGGGAGGGACTATACAGCACTTCTACTTCCTTCTGTGAACAAGAATTGAGCAACTACTAACAGAAAGCATTCTGTTAAGTATTCAATAATGCACATTAAAATCAAAAGCCATGTATCTTTGACATCAAAACTTTTAAATGTCCACCAGATCTGAAATCATGTCAACATTTTATTCGACTCACAATCTTCTATTGGAAAATGCATAAATAATCTGTCATCAGATTTAATCACTTGGTGAATAAATACTGCACTAATGTATTTCACGGAAATTAAGATTCCATCAATTATAAGATGCATTCCATACTCAGATTTGTTAAAATGTGAAAAAAAATTGCAGACTGCAATTTTAAAATGCAATCACTACTAATATGTATCCCAGTTTCAGAGATGTTAAAATGTGAATGGTAATGTTCCTTGTAGTCAATGAAATATGGCATTTGTGATCTACATCAATATATAAAAGTACTAACTAGATAGGTATTTTTTTTTCTACTGAGTCTGCGTTAAACTTTCAAATCTTCTCATTGAACTGAACTGCAAATGTTCAACAGGAGAAACTTAAGTGTCACAGCACTTAGTGTCTCTAGCAGATGAACAAACAGATTGAAGACTTGAAGCAAATAATTCATTTCCCTGTGCATCTGTGTGAGTATGCATGTGTTTACTATAGTAATTCTGATATCTACTTTAACTATACATTATTTTACTTCTATGAGACAAGAAGGGCGAGATCTGTGATTCATGACATGAGACTTATTAATGACTATTATTTTAGCAGGGACATCTTGACAAGGCTTCTTGGTATTTAGGTTCATTATCACAGAGTGGAAACCCTGGTAGCATACTGGTTAAGAGTGTACGCTGCTAACCAAAAGGTTGGCAGTTCAAATCCACCATGTGCTCCTTGGAAATCCTATGGGGCAGTTCTACCCTGTCCTATAGGGTCATTATGAGTCAGAATAGACTTGATGGCAATGGGTTTGTTTGTTTGATTACAGCATAGAATTCAACATCTTATCAGAGAAGAGAGAGCTTCCCTGTTTAACATTAAAACAGCAAGCAACCACTTCCCCCACTCTCCACTGTCTTAGGTGGCTTTTTTTTTTTTTTTCCGTTTGACTTACCACCACCTGACATAGGACATATTTATTTACCTGTTGTCGATTTCTCCCTGTTAAATGAATGCTGAATGAGGGCAAGGTCTGTGTTTTATTCATTGCTGTAGCCCCAGAACTTAGAACAGTGTCTAGCATATGCTGGTGCTCAATAAATACTTGTTGACTGCTGAATAAAGAAAGGCTCAGAATTTAGGAAAATGAAACAAATTAAAGACAACCTGGGTAAGAGTAACCCTGAGGGAAAAAAGATAATTCCTTTGATATATATAGTCTAGGCTGCCTGAAGGGAAATTTTTGAGCACTAATAAATTCATGAAAGAGGATGGCTGTGACACGGCTGTGTCCCTAATACATAGTAAGATGCCTGGCAAACAACAAGCACCACAATAAATAATACTGCCTGGTTCAGTGAATAAACATCAGATGTCTGAAGTGAATAAATCAGTAGTTCTTTTATATGTACCTTTTTCCGTTTTTAATCTGTCAAGGATTTCAGCTTTGTCTGTTAAGTCAGATTTTAAGGCCGTCTCGAGCTGAGCAATCTGCACTTTGAGCTGCTGTTCCTTGAACTTCCATTGCTCTTCATGAGCAGCGCTGAAGGCACTGCAAAACACACGTGACACGCAAGGCAAGCTTGGAAATCAGCTTCAACCGAAAATAATAAAGAGAAAAGCTTTTAGTGGCACAGAGACCACTGTCATCATGTCTTAGGAATTAAGTAAGCATATGCTGGTCTGCTGCTGTTGAAACCAAGGCGCCTTTCTCAGGCTGCGGTTAGAGAACATGAAAGAGTCTGTGGGATGAGCAAAGGAGCTGGCCTTAATTTAGAGCTCTAAAGCCAGAAAAGTTGGCAGTGTGCAGCTTTTGTGGGACTAGTAAAGGAATTCAGATACTGTACATACTCCAGAAGAATCCACAATTCCAAACCTCAGCAAAAGACAATGCACAAAACCATTCTCTCCCACATACGAGTCATCTTAATACAGAGGAAAGTCACTCTCCACCTGATCTTTAATTTTAGAGTCTATGAAACTTTTTTAAGAGTCTGTCATAATAAGGGCATTTATAAAACCTGGCCACAAAATGATAGCATACTGAACCACAACACGGTAATTCTGTATTACTTAAGAAGTACTGATAATGTAGTTTTTGCCCTAAAAAACAAAAATGATTTTACTTGTAACACATGGTTGGGATGAAAACCAATGTTCTGTGCCTGATAAAAATGACAACGACAGAATTATTATTCCTCAATAAAAGTACTGCAGTTTAAACTAGGGTTAAAATCTACTAATGCATGACCCCGCATATTGGAAGAAAGAACCAGTAAAAAAAAAAAAAATTTAAACGGTATGCAGAAAGCATAAAATAAACATTCCTTCAGGCCAGCGGTTCCCAAATGGTGTTCTAAACACTAATGCCAGACCAGCTGCAATAAGAACACTTAGGGAGATTCAAAACTGCAGATCTCAGGACTTCATAGTTTTATAAAGCTCCTAGGTGACAGCCAGGTTTTGGAAAAACTAATCTTGATCTGTACTTCAGCAGAAAACCATCGTCTTATTTATCTTGTGCTGCTGTAACAGAAATACCACAAGTGGACGGCTTAACAAACAAATTTATTTTCTCACAGTTTAGGAGGCTAGAAGTCCAAATTCAGGGTGCCAGCTCTAGGGGAAGGCTTTCTCTCTCTGTCAGCTCTGAAGGAAGGTCCTTGTCTCTTCTGAGCTTCTGCTCCTAGGCAATCATCATGTGCTTGGCATCTCTTTTTCCCCATCTCTACTCTTTGCTTGGTTAATCTCTTTTATATCTCAAAAGAGATTGACTCAAATTATACTCTACAATAATCCTGCCTCACTAACATAACAAAGACAACCCACTCCCAAATGGGATTATAACCACAGGCATAAAACAAAACCAAAAAAACCCCACAGCCATTGAGTCAATTCCGACTCATAGCGACCACACAGGACAGAGTAGAACTGCCCCATAGTTTCCAAGGAGCGCCTGGTGGATTTGAACTGCCGACCTTTTGGTTAGCAGCCATAGCGCTTAACCACTATACCACCAGGTTTCTGATCACAGGCAAAGAGCTTAGAATTTACAACACATATTTTTTGGGGGGGCACAATTTCATCTATAACAATCATTAAATGTGAAGCTTGATATGACTGAATAATTATTAGCAGTTCTGATCCTTCTACTTATTTGAAACCTAGTAAATGAAACAAAAATTTATAAAATATGCTTTTATAATGATGAAGTAAATGGGGGAGAAATGTATTATTGAAAATTCTACTTACTGTTGCTCCCACCTAGTCTTACAGTTTTTATTCCAAAAAAAGATATTATTTAGAAAATTCACAGTTTTCTGGTGGGCACAGCTTTCAAAACAGCAGGATGTATATTCATTTTACATTTCAAATATTTTGTTTCAATTTAAAATAATGTGACCTTGAAAATAAGTAGGATTCTAGAAGCTTCTCTAGATATGACAGTTATTTTTTTCTATCAATGTTCTCATTTCATATATACAGCCTTAAAAAAAGGCATAGATCTCATATACCAATATTTTAAGTTAATTATATCAAAGGTACAATTACCTAGACTTAAACGAAATCTAAATAGAACATATACTTTAAATACTAAAGGAAGAATATTCCTTTCATTCTTAATAAACAACAAATATAATTTTTGTGTTTGGCAAAATTATACATAATACACATATATGTGTATATGGATATGTGTGAGTGCATGTGTGTGTGTATGTGTACGTGTATGTGTGTCTTGTATTATTGAAAACATGTACCACTTGGAAAAAAATTAGCATGATGAAATAGGCACAACTATACATTATATCAGATGCCAAAAATTAGAAACAGTAGTGTTCCAATAGCATTAGAACCAGCAAAAAGATCACCAACAGCTAATCTGGCAGAAACATCAGAAGCTGTATGTGTTTAAATTAAGAACAATTTAGCAGCCTGGTTTTTCCAAACCCACAAAATACTAGTGTAAATCAGCATAAGTCAATCTGAATTTAGTCCGTTGCTATCTTCCCTCTAAATTTAGGATTACATTCCACTAGAGTTTCATGAGGAATTCCTTTTGAATTTACTGTATTCCTCTATGCTTGGAGCCATCTGTGTAACTATAAATGGTGAACCACATCTGGCTCCATTTTCTTTGTAAGGGCTGTGTACATGATTAGATCTGCATATGAGAACAGTTTTTGAGAACCTTTTATTCATGAAAATGTTTTTATATATTGCCTACAGTGACAACTGAGGGGGGAGAATCATAGTTGGTCTTTGTGCACATTTCATTGTTACATTATGTTGAAGGAGTGAAAAAATGTCAGTCTGCAGAGAATGCCCACTGGTGCCTGTGGTCACTGGCATGTCCACTTGCAGCCAGGGGTCAGCATACTGTAAATACACATCCTTGATAAACAACATGATAAAATAGAGGGGAAAAGAAAAGCCTGAAGAATTCATCTTCATCCTCAGATCTTTTTTCTTACAGAAGAAATTCCATTTATTTCAATGTTCAAGGGCATCCTAATCTGAAGAGATGTTGTTGTTAGGTGCCATTCAGTCAATTTCGACACACAGTGACCCTACAGAACAGAGTATAACTGTCCCATAGGGTTTCCTGGGCTGTAATCTTTATGGGAGCAGATTTCCAGGTCTTTTCTCCCGTGGAGCTGCCAGGTGGGTTTGAACCACCAACATTCCACTTAGCAGCTAAGTGCTTAACCAATGCGCCACAAGGGTTTGGGAAGAATAAACTCTAAATCATCCACAAAGAAATTCATAGGTACTTTAGTTAGGGCCTAAGGAGCCCTGGTGGCACAGTGGTTAAAGTGATCAACTTTAACCGAAAGGTAGATGGGTTTGAAACCTCCAGCGACTCCGTGGGAGAAAGATGTGGCAGTTTGCTTCCATAGAGATTTACAGCCTTGGAAACCGTATGTGGTCGCTGTGAATGGGAATCAACTTGATGGTAGTGGGTTTGGTTAATTTGGTTACTTAGGGCCCAGTGAAAATTAAATACACATTTACATGAGGATATTTCATTTACTGAAGGAAAAAGGATGCCCAAAATGTACTCAGAGTTTGATTTCTGGGAAGAACAAAGTGCTCATATTTGATCATATGACCTTTGATGAGTCTACGGTGACTGCAGGGGACAGGTGCTCACTTTACAGAAACAGAGCACAGTGAGAACAGTCTTTGAATGCTTAGCAGCACTCTTAAAAATTTTGGATATTAGATGACTATTCCATGTAAAAAACTGATTCACCCAATTTAAAAAAAAATTTTTTTTTTACTGTACATTAGATGAAGGTTTACAGAGCAAACTAGTCTCTCATTGAACAATTAATACATACATTATTTTGTGACATTGGTTGCCAACCCCATGACATGTCAACACTCTCCCCTTCTTGACCTTGGGTTCCCAATTACCAGCTTTCCTGTCCCCTCCTGCCTTCTTGTCCCTGCCGCTGGGTTGGTGTGCCCATTTAGTCTCGCTTTGTTTTATGGGCCTATCTAATCTTTGGTTGAAAGGTGAACCTTAGGAGTGACTTCAGAACGGAGCTATAAGGGTGCCCGGGGGCTGTACTCTTGGGGTTTCTCCAGTCTCTGTCAGACCAGTAAGTCTGGTCTTTTATTTATTTATTTTTGTGAGTTAGAATTTTTTCTACATCTATCACCTGCTCTGTCCAGGACCCTCTGTTGTGATGTGTATCAGTGCAGTCAGTGGTGGTAGTCAGGCAGCATCTAGTTGTGCTGGACTCAGTCTGGTGGAGGCTGTGGTAGTTGTGGCCCATTAGTCCTTTGGACTAATATTTCCACTGTGTCTTTGGTTTCTTCATTGATTCACCCAGTTTTTAAAGGGGTTAATATCTCTTCAAAAATGAGACCAGCACTCTCAGGCAACATCTAGTTCAACTGGCATAACGCAGTTTATAAAGAAAACGTTCTACATTCTACTTTGGTAAGCAGTGTCTGGGGTCTTAAAAGCTTGTGAGAGCAGCTATCTAAGATACTCCACTGATCCCACCCCCTCTGGAGCAAGGGAGAATGAAGAAAACTAAAGACACAAAGGAAAGATTAGTCCAAAGGACTAATGGGCCACAACTACCACAGCCTCCAGCAGACTGAGTCCAGCACAACTAGATGGTGCCCGGCTACCACCACCAATTGCTCTGACAGGTATCACAATAGAGGGTCCCAGACAGAGCTGGAGATAAACATAGAACAAAATCCTAACTCACAAAGAAAGACCAGACTTACTGACCTGACAGAGACTGGAAAAACCCCAAGAGCATGGCCCCTGGACATCTTTTAACTCAGTACTGAAGTCACTCCTGAGGTTCACCCTTCAGGCAGAGATTAGACAGGCACATAAAACAAAACGAGACTAAATGGGCACACCAACCCAAGGGCAAGGATGAGAAGGCAAGAAGGGACAGTAAAGCTGGTAATGGGGAACCCAAGGTCAAGAAGGGGAGAGTGTTGACACGTCGTGGCGTTGGCAACCAATGTCACAAAACAATATGTGAATTAACTGTTTAATGAGAAACTAGTGTGCTCGGCAAATCATCTAAAGCACCAAAAAAAAAAAAAAAAAAAAAAACACAAGAGAAAAAAAATGAGAACAACACTTTTTTCTTACAGGCATTAAATCAGTGTTTCTCAAGGAAGTTAATAGTTTAAAATCACCTTCAAAAGATTTTCTGAACCCAAACTCAAATTGACTGAATCAGAATTGAATGGTAGGATGACGAAACCTGTATTTTAATAAAATTTCAGGTTACTTTTATACATTATACCTGAAGGATCACTGCATTTGACAATTACATGGCCTAAAACTATACTAACTTCAAAAAATATACTATACTATATTATAGTATACAGTTTCTCTCTGAGCAAATAGAAAGATATAATTGCAAAAAATCCATTCTGAACTTTTAAATTGTGCATTTCTTAAACAGTTACACTTGTTTCTTGACATTGTATAAAAATGCTTTAGCATATTAAAAACAGCTCATGTTAAAAACAGTGATGCATCACTTAATGTCCACGATACATTCTGTAAAATAGGACATTATGTGATTTGGACGTTGTGTGAACACTGTATTATACAGAGGCAGTCCCTGGATTATGAACGAGTTCCATTCCTAAGACTGACTGTCTTTAAGTTGAATTTGTATGTAAGTCTTAACAGTTAGGTATGGTTTGTATCTAACGTCGGTCAAATGTATGTCTTAGTATATAGTATACAGTGTACCTTTTTATGCATAAAAAAATTAAAGAAACACTTCCATATACACTAAAACATCTTAAACATAATAATACAGTAATAATAATAATGTTCTGATACGCATTGTAAAGTAGCACCTGTTTGTTATTACGAACTACTGTAGACACCTCAAAATTTTAATATAATAGGCTTTACAGGGCTTGGTTCATAACTATGGGTTGTACATGAGTCGGGTGCTCGTAACCCAGGGACTGCCTGTACTTAGCAAAGCTATATGGGATACTGCAGCGTACCTGTATTGACTAAATAGCCTAGATACTGTGCACATAAACAAACAAACAAACAAAAAACCAAACTCACTGCTGTTGAGTTGATTCCGACTCATAGAGACCATACACGACAGAGCAGAACTGCCCCATAGGGTTTCCAAGGCTGTAACCGCTATGGAAGCAGACTGCCGTATCGTTCTCCCACAGAGCGGCTAGTGGGTTCGAACCACTGACCTTTTGGTTATCAATAAGCGCTTTAACCACTGTGACACCATGGCTCCTACTGTACACATACAGTACTATATTTCAGCTAATGTATGTGGCAAGGGAATATATGGGTTAAGTAGGTTACTACTGTAACTCTATTATAACCTTGTAGGATCACAGAGGTGTATGTGGTCGGATGTTGCCCAAAAGGACATTACGTGGTGCATGACTGTACTAACATGAGGGTTTTAGCAGATGATTTCTCTAACATGTCATATCTCAAGTAATAAACACATTCAAAATTTCATTTGAAAAGGGAGAATGAAATCTGCAAATCAAATTTTTTCTCCTGAAAACTAGCCAATTTTTAATAACAAACAAATGCTCTCTTTTTTAAAACATCCTATCATTCTGACTAACCAAATAGGGAGTATACATAGCGTCTGATGAACATTAGTTGTTAGCCATGATGAATAGCAGGGCCATGAAACACAAGAGCTGTAAAGACTCTTAGGGATGATGATGATTTTTGTAGAATTTCTTCGGTGATTCTCAAAACTTACTATATATATGTGTGTGCATATATATATACATATATATTTTAAATTATATTACAGATTTTTATACTTGCAATGATGGGCTTAAGCATAGCAACGACTGTGAGGATGGCGCAGGACTGGGCACTGTTTTGTTCTGTTGTATGCAGGGTCGCTATGAGTTGGAATGGACTCGATGGCACCTAATAACAACAATTTGTTATCATGTGTACTTGCTAAGTCTTGAATTTTAGTGACATTAAATGTTTTGACAATCATTGCATATATTTACTTCCAGACACCTCACACAAAGCTAAAATGTAAGCAGCACAATGAAGTTTGGTCTTAATGTGACAGAAAAAAAAATGTAGCTTAAGCATAAAACATTAAATAAAAAACCTTCAAAGTCAGATTTATACTCTTAGGTCATTTTCCAATACGGAAAAATAAAATTTTTATGATGATAAGGTAAATATGAATACAATATGTCTCTCTCAAAATTCCATGTAGGCACTATTCCCAGCTAGGTTTGATGTTTTTTGTTCCAAGAAGGTATGTTCAGTAAATTCTCAAAATGGGAGGAAGTAGAAAATTAAGAAGTAATGGTCAAATGGCACACAATTTCTTGCATTTAGACAGTGTTAAATTATTTGAAATTACAAGGTGTTGAAGATAAATATAAATCAATAAAAATTCCTGACTGTCCCATTACTCCATGATTGTTTCCCTTTCACACATACAATTTTCTAATGCACTTAAATGAGAGAAGTAGTAAAGCACAAAAACAACAACAACAACAAAAACCTAACCTGTTGCCATCAAGTTGATTCTGACTCACAGGGACCCTACAGGACAGAGCAGAACTGCCCCATAGGGTTACCAAGGAGCAGCTGGTAAATTCCAACTGCCGACCTTTATGGTTAGCAGCTGAACTCTTAACCTCTGTGTTACCAGGGCTCCAAGGAAAGCATAGGCGGAAAAAAATTCAAGTTTTGGAGTCAAAAGGATTGGGTTCTAGTTTTGTACTTAAGTCTCGGCAATATTGTGTGACTTCTTAAATTTTCTGAGTCTCAATTTCCACATCTATAAAATACGAGGATAAAATAGAGTGCTGTGTGATCTGTATACTAACATTTACTTTTTCAAATATGCAATTATTAAATATTTAAATATATGCCAATATAAATTGACACATTATTCCAAAGAGACTGAAATATAAAACAGGAGACACTAGTAATCAGTAAGAAATACTTTAGATAAAATTAATTAGGGCTGGTGAGGGAAGGGGGAACCAGAATAAAATACTGGAGGCCAAACGATCTGTAACGGGGTCCAACACCAATGCCACATACATATTTTAGTTAGTCTCCCCTTGCGGGAGGAACCAAAATATTATTTTAGCTGGCATCTGAACTTGGAATCGGCAGCCCTTAATCTAATGCGCCACTGTGCAAAGATGGTTGATACCAGTACGAAAACAACACAGGCAATGAGACATACTGGGATCATGTCTGACATTAATTTAGGCGACAAAATAAAAGCATATCCTCACATTCTTTGGGTATGATTTGTTTAAATTAGAAAGTGAAAAAATACAATTAAAAGGTTAAAGATATATCTTTAGCTCAGATAGCTATTTTCTGATGTTCTAGTGTCCGATCAATAGAAACAACTATTGACTATCAGCTACCACATATATTTTAATATATCTAAAATCGGCTTTCATGTAAACAAGTATTAATCATGTTGCAAAGACTTAAGAATATATACATATCTATATTACTTAATCAAACTTAGCTTTGGAACAGATTTTCATTTCTAACATTACCAGAAGGGACTAATTTCTAAAATACCATAATTATGAAGCAGATTAAGAAAAAAAATGGAAGCAGCTCTTTATCTTAATATAAAGATGTTTGTATTTCTCTTTATAATGAACAGAGACAACTGTAAGTGAATGCCTTTGCTTTCCCCCAACAAAATTACTCTCTACTGACAGGCAGGGGAGCTCAGTGGAAGAAAGATGGGCTTGGAGAGATTGAAAGAGGCTCTATTATGTCACAGTTTTAAAAACTCAGGCAAGTTACTTAATCCCAGTTTATCTTCCTCGTCTGTAAAATGGGCATTTACAATATCTACATTTCAAGGTTGTTGTGAGGAATTTATAATATATGTAGAGTATCTAGCACAGTGCCTGCTAGCCTATAGTTTACGTACAATAAATGAAAGCAGTTGTTATTGGCAACAAAGTGATATAGCTTTCTTAGTAGTGACAGAATACTGCTCAGGTTAAAGGACTTACTACTAATCCCTAAAAAGAGCATATTTTTCTGTTAGAATATATCTATGTATACGTATATATATACATACATATATATATACGTATACATATACATGCATATGTATTTCCCCTTGCTGTCAGCTGTTGCTAAGATATTTCTATTTAATCAATATTAGATAGTCTGACATCAAATGCTTTGATAAAACAGAGCTCAAACGAGAGAATGAAAGAACACACGGAACCATGATTTACCTGTTATAGAGTTGATCATAATTTTCCTTTAAAAGTTCCCGTTCCTTTTCTAAATCATTAATTCTATCCTGCAGCTAAAATGAAGAGAAAATTACATGTTAGGTGATTACTATATAAAACCACATGGGGGTAAAAAAACCTCACGAGAGGAGGCTAACATGTTTCAATCTTGATTTCTAAACTGTAGCTGCTAAGTAGGTCACTTATTATTGTCTGTATGTAATTTAGCACTGACTCTTCCAAGTTGTTAAATAAACACGAAATTAATATTCCTGTTTTAATTCAGTAGAAACGTATGTACTGCATTATGGCAACATGTGTCAGAACACAAAAAAGAATGTATTAAAAGGTTGCTGTTAAGTCCATGTAAACATAATACTTTTTACTTCTCCTAGCCTTATGCATTCCCTCCTTACATTCATTTTATATTAATTTCTAATTGGTCCATAAAGAAATAATAGGATTAACTGTTTGGGGGTTCATGGTGTAAACAAACTGTGTCAATCACTATTTACTCTGAAGACAATTTCTCATGTTAACTTAGAATTTACAAACAGCCAATAACATACCTTATCAATAAATGAAAAAAACAAACAAAATTATGTACCTTATTTTATCCCACTAAATAATATTTTTAGAAATAAATTTGGGAAAATAATTGCATCTTATGACTAAAATGTACATTTCTGTACTCTAGCATTTAAGTTTTATTACAAGTATATTTTGTAGTTACAATCTTTTCCTATGGATCAGAATATTCTTAAAATTCATCTCCATTCTCAAAATTCTCTTCTGATGATAGTGAGACACAATAGTAAGATAAAAAACTCTCCCAAGATCAGAACAGAATGGGGGCATCTTATTTTATTTCCATTTTCCCTAAATGGAGATGCATTTATAGACTACAGCAAGAGATGATGCTAGTGGGGATATGAGCAATAACAGTAATAGGAAGAGGAGGGAGTTTCAAACAACTTGTTAGGAAAAAAAAACTACATAATTTCACAAAATTGCTGATGCTGCAGAAACCTAATATCCTTCTCTTCAGTAAGAGATATATTCCTATAATTCTGTTTTGGTATCTCAAATGATGAATAAATTGTTCTAGTTGTGAAAGTTAAGTTCCAAAGGTAATCTGCATCAGTTTCATAATGTTTTTCTTTTTAGTCAAGGGTCCTTAATCCCTCAGGTAACGAGTGGATCTCAAGACATTAGCAAGTATTTTTCAGCACTGATTTGCCACTCCCATACTTTATCAGCAACTAAACTGTATTGTGCTCAACATGCCATATATGAAGCTTATAATTTTAAAATACATATATTTAAAACATCTCTATTTTCTTTTTTCAAATCAGCTGCAGAGAAGTTTTAATGCAACGGATGGCTAAAATCTTTGGGAGCTTACCTCTTCTATTCGTTTTTCAGAAAATGTCATGGAATTTAATTGTTTCTCAAGATTGCAGCATTTTAAACGCTGCTCCTTAAGCTGCTTATTTAGCTCATCTCCATTTGCCATCAAGGCATCATGGCTGATCCTGAGAGCTCTTTGCTTCTATAAAACAAAAAGAAAATTGTTTAAGATTTCTGGATTATGCTTTGAATAAACGATTACAATTCTATAAATATATTTACTACTAAAGTTCACATGATACAATTTATTCTTCACATCACAAATGATGCCTGTGGGTTACCTGTCTGTAAGAGACATGTAACGTGAGGAAGAAACTACAGGGTGACCTTAGCAAAGCCCACATAATGCAAAAAGTGTTTGGCTTTTATTTTCTTTCCTCCTAGTTCTGACTTGTTGATAGTGACCAGTAAGTAAATTAGTTTCAGCAATTAATTTTTTTTTTTCTGTTTGCTGTGGCTTCAGTGGTTAGACATTCTGTCTAAAAATGCTGCAGCATGGGTCAAAAATAAATGCTGACCACAGATATTCAAACTGAAAGGATTTGCCATCACACCGTATAAACAGCCTGGGATGGTTAGCTTTTAATTTTAATAAATTAAATTTTTCAATTCAGTAAAATAGTTAAACTCTTAACTTTCAAAATGGCCTATTTATGGGCATGCTCTGAATTCAGTTTTATATACTTAAATACTACATGCCTCTTTTGTAAATTTTTTAATGTTGATTACAGTGAATTCTCTTCATAATGGCTATATGACCATAATATGCACTGCCTCACTGGCCACACAAAGTAGCTTAAGTTCTACTGAAGTTCTTGTACGCTCCTTTACAAGACAAGTGTTGGTGAGCTACTTTAGGCCAATGTTCTTTAATCTTGCTTCGCTGTAGACACTACCTTTAACCACCTTTCTCTCGGCTTCTGACCTCATTGAGGCTGTTGGCCTGAAGCTCTCAAATCTCTACCCTGTGTTAATTCCCAAAAGAGGTACCTGGGCTACAGGAGACACTTGTTAATGATGGTATTTAAACAAATACCTGAAATCACTGTTAAATGGAAATTAAAATGGTTAAAGTGCTAAGAGAACGTAAAATCATTTTTGTGGGCTTTCTTAATTCCTCATTTTAGAAATAGCTTTCAAACACACATACTTTTCAATTCTCCTTTTCTGTCCATCTGCAGATAGTGCTATCCTTTCCTCTCTCTAATCAGTCTCTCTTCTACAAACTCTCACATTTATATGGAAGGTAGTTATTACTTGGCACTTAAGGAGGTTCCTGCAGGATGAAAAACTCTACCTAGAGTATGCTTTAAAAATATTTAACTATTTAATTCAATAGTGAATTTAGTCTTCAGATGACCCTATGCTTTGCATCAATTTACTGCTCTCCTTGTCTCAGCACTTCAAAGAAAGTGCTGCTTAATATGAATTCTGCTCATCTGGAATGTTTTGGAGTTCATTAATTCCAGAACTCATGTTAATTATGCAGTGCCAATAAATAGGAGCCCTCTGATGGCAGATTCCTGTGGGGCCATAGTCCTTGTTAAAACAACTATGGGGAAGAAGAGTTTCAAGTACTGTTAACATGAATTGTTAATGTTTAAAATAAATACATTAATAGCTGACATTATGGATATGTAAATATTTTCTGATACTGGTACTGACAAAGCAAAACAAACAAAACAATAAAAAAAACCCCACAACAAACCTCCCAAAAGGAAAGCGTTAACAGAGCACGATTTGTAACTTTGGTCTACTTTAGATACTTTACAAATGTTTAAAACTGAAGATATATGCAAATACAGCCGCTAACCCTCCAATACTAAGTACAGATAATAATTTCTTATAAAAGGAGTTAAAAATAAATTTTCTTGGCACGAGATAATTTATCATAAATGTGTTCATTATTTTAAGATGAGACAGATAGTCATAAAAGTCCAAGCAGTTATTTCTTTAGTTATTAAATTATAAATAACAATAAATGAAGCCAAATTACATCAACTCAAGGATAAAAAGAGTAATCATAAAAATTATGCTTTAGTGTTATGACAATTCTACTTTTTAAAAACAAATAACTTAAATGTCAGTTTTGAATTCTTTGTATCTATGCATCATCATAATAAAATAAATGATCACGGTACCTCTTGAAGCTGAATAAATTTTCCTTCCATTACTGAAAGAGCATTGCTTTTCTCCACTAGTTGCTTATGAAGCTTAATCATTTCTACATTGTCCCGAATGTTTGACCTTCAAAGTTGTGTTTAAGAGAGAGAGGAAAAAAGGTAAGGTTAAAAAAAAAAAAAAAAAAAAAAAAAAGGGAAGAAAAATCAACGGTGGAATTGCAGTTTTTCATTTAAGGCTACCTAGAAAATATTTACATTCTTGTACATCAGTTGCCAAGACTTTTAGCTTATTACACACTTAGGACAGATTTATTACTTAAAATCAATCAATAATCATGTTTGAACTTTCAAAAACACAGACTTTCAGTTTGAAGAGAGCCCCCAAACTTGACGACTGTCTCACCTCTATAATGATTGATAATATGAATTGAAAATCATTTTACAGTGTCCTGAAAGATGGCATGAAAACACATCAGTCTTTAGCACAGCAACAGTTCCACCACCACACTTCAGACTTATTTTAAGGCGGACAATCACACCACTTTTCCCTTAAAGAAAAATATGCAATACAGCCACTCATCTTCCCACCACTCCCTCGAAGCAGATGGTATCATAAGATTACCATTTATTGGAGTTTCCTCTTGGAGTTTAAACTTTTCAAAATATTTCCAAAAAAAGTGACTTAGCATTTTATACTAATAATGCCCAAAGCTGGCATTTAAATATGTTGCAGATGCGCCTTTAGCTGTAAGAGATCATTTGACATTCACAGGGTATACAGAAACCCTATATGCTGCAATACTATTTTGTATTTTTCCTACTGAGATTAAAGCAAACGCAGAATTTAACAGAAAGATCTTGTTAAAGGTTAATCATAGATCTAAATGAATACCTTTTTTCAAAGCACATTTCTTTTCCTGACAAACTTCCCTAATTAAATATGTTTTACATTAAAAAATATTTTAAAAATTGTAAAGCTTGGTTTTAAACCTAACTTTTAAGAAAAATCAGGTAAAATTGTTAAATTCAGAAAATAATTTCATTATTTAAAGTCAGTGATTTTACTTCCAAAACTTATCTAGTGTACACATATTGGAAAAATTGTCACAATGCCCTATTGGAACCAGAAAATGGACTACAAAGCTGACACATCTGTATACCAGCTGAGGACTTGAAATACTTAATTTTCCTCTTTGATATTTCAAAGTTCATTGTGTTTTGGCATTGGACAGTTAGCTGTCTTCACACAGAAGATAAACAAGAACCTGGATCTTGCCCAGGATATTGTACTTGTTTATCTTCCGTGTGAGGACAACTAACACAGTCTTAACACAATGTTAAAATAATTATGTGTTTAAAACATGTTATCTAGTAGATATGAGCATATCTTCAACAGCACACTCACTATCATTCCCCTCAGTATTACCTCTGCTTGCTTAAAAAAAAAAAAAAAAACTGTAACATGAAGAAAGACATATTTTAAATAAAGTATAAAAAAAAAATTTACTTTTTTTCGTATTTAGAAGCCAGAATATAATTTACTTGTTTTCCCCAGAATACTCAGCTTGACCACTCAGTGACATTTATTGATACGGAAGGAAAGAATATGATTTAAATAATTTCAAATCTTTTTTCTATTTTCAGTTGGTCCTGGAATTTTATTTTTCTTGCTTTTAAATATGTTAGTATTTTCAAGAAGACTCAGATATATCCGGGTAATAACTATTACTTAATGACAGCAACAAAGAATTAAGGCCCAATAACCCATTCAGTCACATAAAAAACAACAACAAAACAACCAAACCTGTTGCCGTCAAGTCAATTCTGACTCACAGCAACCCCACAGGACAGGGTGGACCTGCCCCATAGGGTTGCCAAGAAGTGGCTGGTGGACTCGAACTGCTGACCTTTTGGTTAGCAGCCTGAGTTCTTAACCACTACGCCACGAGTCACATGAGGTCATAAAGAAATGATACAAACAAGTTTTACTCTCTGTAAGACAAAGGCCAGTAAGTATGTTTCAAAAACTTTCAGCGGCTCAATTGGTAGATGCTTTTATGAATATTCTCCAAAATCCTCAGAGTTTAAAGTGATCAAAATATTGACAAGAAAAATCACATTTTACACTAATAATGCCCCAAGTGGGCATATGTGCATCATAAGTAGTATTTAGAAAACTATGATAATATGGTACTTGTAAATAAAGTCAGTGCACTACAGAGTACACCTATTCTGGGATAATGCAAAATCTGCATGTCTTTAATAATTTTTTTCCTAAGCTTTATTTATTTTGATGATGTTGTTGAGAATATACACAGCAGAACATGCACCAATTTAACAGTTTCTGTATGTCCAATTCAAGGTTATTCAGGTATACAATTTCTTGAAAGCAATTACAATAATTGGCAGTGCAATCCTATCTTTAATGAATGTGACTTTCCCATCACCCTTAGCCTCTCCCCTTCCCCTCCCCCTCTCCTGTCCCTGGTAACCACTAATAAACACTGGTCTCTGTACATTTGCCTTTTCTTTTTATATAAGTGAGGTCATACAATATTTATCCTTTTGTGATTGGCTTATTTTGCTCAGCATGTCTTCAAGCTCCATCCATACTGTAGCATGTATCAAGACTTCATGTCTCCTACTGGTTGATTAGTATTCCATTGTATGAAAGTACCACCCCATTGATCTGTTGATGGGCATTTAAGTTCTTTCCATCTTTTGGCAATTGTGAATAGTGCTGCAATGAGCATTGGTGTACAAGTCTCTTTTTGAAGCTCTACTTTTTCAAGTCTTTTGGGTATATACCTAGAAGTGGAATTCCTGGGTCATATGATAGTTCTGGAAACCCTGGTGGCGTAATGGTTAAGAGTTATTGCTGCTAATGAAAAGGTCGGCAGTTCGAATCCACCAGGCGCTCCTTGAAAACAGTATGGGGCAGTTCTACTCTGTTCTGTAGGGTCTCTATGAGTCGGAATTGATTCGATGGCAATGGGTTTGGTTTTTTTTTTTTTTTAATGGAAATCCTGGTGGTGTAGTGGTTAAGAGCTACTAACGGCTGCTAACCGAAAGGTCGGCAGTTCGAATCCACCAGCTGCTCCTTGGAAACCCTATGGGGCAGTTCTACTCTGTCCTATAGGGTTGGTATGAGTCAGAATCAACTAGACAGCAATGGGTTAGTTGTATTTTTAGTTTTTTGAGGAACCACCACTGTTTTCTACAATGGCTGTACCAATTTGCATTCCCACCAGCAATGGAACCACATCCTCACCAACATTTAGTTTCTGTTTTGTTTTTTTCTCTTAGTTATCTTAGTGGGAGCGAAATGGTATCTCATTATGGTTTTGATGTGCATCTCTGACGACTATAATGACGCTGAGCATCTTTTCATGTGTCTGGTGGTTATTTGAATGTCCTCTTTGGTGAAATGTCTATTCAAATCCTTTGCCCATTTTATGATTTGGTTATTTGTCTTTTTGTTATTAAGTTGTTGAAGTTTTATATATATTTCAGTTATTAGATTCTTATTGGATATATGGTTTCCAAAGATATTCTCCCAGTTCGTAGCTTGTCTTTTCACTTTTTTGGTAAAGTCTTGGTGAACAAAAGTTTTCAATTTTTATGAGGTCCCATTTATTTATTTTGTCTTTTGCTATTTGTGCTTTTGTTATTATATTAGCCAATCAATTGTTAAAAGCTAGGCCTGACAGCACTGCCCCTGCTTGTTCTTCTAAGAATTTTATGATTTCAGTTTGCATATTTAAGTCCTTAATCCATTTTGAATTTGTTTTCATATCTGGTGTAAGGCATGGGTCCTGTTTCATTTTTCTGCATGTGGAAATCCACTTTTCCCAACACCATTTATTGAAGAGACTCTTCTTTCCCCATCGAATGGACTTAGCACCCTTGTCAAAAATCAGTTGACCATAGATGTGTGGTTTAATAATTACTTTTTAAGCGCCAGTTTTAGGGGCTTTATGCAAAGTAATTATTACCATGACCACATATTTTTTGAGGGTAACAATTGGAAGGATGACTTGCCGTTAAGCCGAAAGTACTCAGTTAATGATATAAAGAACATAAAAGTTAAAATCAGCAGTGCAATGAATGTGCTCTAGTCTTTAGGAAAGCGTACAATGCACATCAACTCAAACCTGACAATCAAGGCAATATTTTTACATAGATAAAATATCATAAAAGAAAAAGGGTGGAATTGAGATAGAAAAGAGGGAAAGAGATGCCATAAAAAGATGACAAGGAGCGTGAGAAAGATGTTGGAGGGAAGATGGAGCTAGAGTCATTGCTAAGTGGCCACACCTTGATCTCCATGCATGTGAAGGAAGCCCCCAGGTTGGTTTCCTCTTAAGAACAGATACAGGGCTAATTTTATGAGCAGTATTTTAATGCCCTCCACGTAAGAATTTCTTGGCCTACTCCACAGCAGTATGACAAGGACATCGAATCTTCAGGATGATGGCATTTTAACAGAAAGAACAACACACAGTGCAACACTCAGATGAACTCTGAGCCAATCATGCAACAATTCATACATGCTGCATTACACATGGTGAAATGACTTGGAAACAGATACCACGCATGCTAATTAAGTGCTTTGGAAAAATAAATTTCTCAAATTTTTCTACAGGGATTTTGAAAACACTATAAACAATTAAGTTAGAAAATGCACTTTCTTTTCTCTTTCTCTTTCATAAAGAAAACACATACGTATGATTTAGAATTATGATCAAATCTTCTAAAACTATGAGAAGAGTTGGCCCATCTCTAGATTAAAAACAAACTGAAATAAATTAGATTTCATGTTGAAAAAAGTAATCCAGCTCAACAACCTGTGTGCCAAGGTTCTCTCATATAATTTGAAACAGTCAAGTAATAAACTCTGAAAAAGGAATTTCTAATGGAAGCCTTGAAAAACACTTGACTCCAGCTTTGCTACTGGGTGCCACAATAAATCCAGAAACTTAAAACCTCAGATACACTGGAGGAGGAAAAACTTTCAGTGGGGCTATGTAATGTATAGTCTAATACGAAAGCTTAAGAAGCAAAAACCTTTGCTCCGGTGAAAGTTTCATATACTTCATTCCCCAGGCGCAAAAACCCTGCCGA